GTTCAGCCGCCCGCGCTTACGCCCGCGTCCCAGGCTGCCTCCGCTCAAGACGCTGCCTCGAGACACTGGTGGCTGCTCCAGGCCGATGACTGTACGGGAAGGGGCATAATCTGCGGCCCATAAACTCCTGCCAGCGAGGAGCAGCCGCCGGAGGCACGCGTGCAGCAGATCGGGATCTGTTTCCTCTGAGGCGGCCGTTGCTTCCGGCGTCCCGGGGACGTGCCCGTAAAGCGTTAGGTTCCCAGCAAGTCCCGTCCGACGCGCAAGGCGGACGCTAACCAATCAAGCCCCGCTTGATGAGCAGTGGTGTGGGCCAGCAGCCTGGCGTATGGCCGCTGGTGATTTGGGGATCGCTCGATTCGCGTGGGTCGCAAATGCCGCCCAAATCCGCGGCCCGCGAGGTGCCCATGCGGAGCCTATCGCCCAAGTCTCCATGCACCAGTGGAAGGGGACGGTTGGCACTGCGAAAGGCGGTGCTTGACACCATTACAGCTACTTCTGTGCCGTCACAGTCGCCGCGACGTCGCCGCTTCATGCCAAAATGGGATCGCATATGGCATCGCAAACGGTGCTTTCTGCTACTGATGCAACATTTTACGGGCAGTCTTGTGGACTCAAGAGACAGACCTGTGGACTGAGTCCACAAGGAGCTGGCATGCCCCTGATATCCTTTTTCTTTCTTGCTTGCGTGTACGTTGCATTCAGAGTTAGCCGTGTTGTTGTTCCTTTACTGGATGTGGGTTGCATGTCTGAGGTATAGTGATTCAATCTCTTCAATCACCTATGGATGGAAAGATGCTGTAGACCAGTTACAGATTGGCATCGACAACTTCTGAACGATGCTAGTGAATGAACAACAGTAGAAAGAGGCTGAGAGACAGCAGATAGTGAACAAATGGGCCCAAAATCATATCCTAGACACCAACATTTTTGGCTGAAAGGCACAAATATGCTGGACAATAAAGGTAAAATTGTCGCCTTTACGACAAGGTATGGTCCGAGATTCGTAGAGAGAATATGTGGTGTAAAGCACGGGGGGTAGTATGTTTCTTTAGTTATGGGTATCTGAAATGTACGGTAAACATCAAGAAACAATCTCATCTCTTAGTAGAGTTTACTAAGAACCCATAAATTCTTGAATCACTCCATTTGAGTCATTGGTATTTGTAGTGGAGTTATAGCTATTAGAAATAGCAGTACCCCTCCGATACCCCTCCGCATCGTATTGGGGGATGAGATAGTATCGATACGCCGGCATTGTCCACATTGTCATATGACGCAGGGCATGCCAAAGAGTGACCCCAATGCGTGATGGACTGTAACTCTTGGTGACCACTTGCCTCCGTGCGGCTGCACCCATGAGCCGCTCCTGTGTAGTGCACCCACTGCGCACACTGCTGTCCTGCGCCTGGTTGATTGCAGGCTTGGGCCCACACTGTGCACCCTGAAGGAGCAAGCGCCCCGGACCGCCCGCACCACCCGCTGGCCAATCAGCAAAGGAGGCCCATTCGGGCTGAATTGGGTGCTGCAGTGGGCACATCGCCTGTGCATTGAGCCGAAAACCATGCCAGATTAGGAGAAAATATAATGGACAATTTATTTGATGGGCTTGTTTTCCCATCGTGTACACAATTGCTTGTATCACATGATGCATGAGAAATGTTACAGCAATTGAACACTCAGAAAGAAATTTTTGGAATGCCCGCAACTGCCAATGAGGCAACAAAATAGACACAAAAAACAATTCGCCTCAAAGTGAGCAAAGTCAGGTAAATTCGTTGATAGCACTTATTTCCAATGTTGGACTGGCAGTTTTGAACTACCTACATAAGTGGCTAATACACAAGTATCCCATACCATTCATGTTTTCAGCATTCTATACAGTTGGCCAGGGTTCCCATAGTTATTCGGTTTGCTTATGAGTCACTAGGATTGGTTGCGCCCCCAAACGGACCCACTTTCTCACGTCACAAGTCGGTGTGTTTCATCACTACCCTGGCATAGTCCAATTGGGTAATTTGTGTGCTTGCTGCCTTCCTTCCATGGGCTTGGTCATTACCATTCTCAAAACTCCCCAAAGTACTCTGGCATTTCCCTTGGTACCTACCGGTGGTGGGCCTGTAATCCTCTCGGTACATGCCATCATCCTAAAGTCGTTTTTCAGCATTCTCAGGCATGGTTTCCTTGACAGGATTCTGGCCCGCCCCCAGACCACAAGACTTTGGCTTGGCGAGACCAGTTTCAACTGACGTCACATAGTCTCATCAGTTCCCTTTAAGCCTTGTTCACTTTCCCTTAAGTACATGGGACTGTGGGAGTGCTTGTGACACTCAGTGTGAATGCCTTTCGATCAGCCCAAACCTTGATGAGGTTATAACTGTAACCACTCTAGCGCCACGTCCGCCATCAATATAGCTTGCGCCCCCAGGTAGGCGTCACTAGGATTATTCAAAGATTCATCGATGCCACCCAGTGTAAGTCACAATCGATGAATTTAACAGCAGACAACTCGCTTGGAGGATATTTAAGCACGTATTGCAAAGCCATCATGTCAAGCGCGCCAGTGCGCTGAGAGTTTCGATCAGAGGCGGGCAAAACACCATAGCTAGCTATGAAAGCTATTGATCGATTTACAAGTATTAATCACATGAAGCAATGTAGTGGATCGTTCGTTGTCCAAACGGCGCCATTGAAATACAAATTAAGGTGCCCCAACAGCAAGTCATCGTTCCCAAAACTGCCCACAGGTACGGGTAACTTTCTCTTTTGCATGTTTGCAGGGCTGCCGCATTCAATCCAGCGGAAGTCCATACCGCGAAAAACTCGAGCTTGTACATCCAACCAGCCCTGAGCTATACAATACCATCCACGCCAACCTCCCAGCAGATCTGCTCCCCAATCTCCCACCCCCCATTCCCAACTCAATGGCACCTGCGCGCACGCCGGTCGTAATCACGGCCCCCGTGCTGCACGAAAATCTGCCCATTTCAGCACATCTGGAAACTTCCAAATCGCTGAAAACCGTCGGCCGCCAATATGCGAGGACGAATCCGTCAAGTTGGCACAAAATTGCTTGCGGCTTCAGCCGTGCGTTCATGGGCCATTTTCCGTGCAGCGCGGGCTAAAAATTGCAACTTGTTGCGTTCCAATATGCGCTTGCCAACCGTGCATTTGTGGGCCGCTTTCCAACCTAAGAGCGCAGCCTAGCTAGGTCCACAGCTGAATTGCTTTTTCGTAGACCAGGTCGGCGAGCTTGAGGCCCATGGCCTTCCCGTCTATGTGGTCCGCGATGATGTGGATGCCGCCGTGCAGCCTGGAGATCCCCGACTCCTCGGCGGCCTCGTCCCAGGTCTCCCAGCACAGCACGACGTCAGTCGCTGGCGCGTAACCTGCAAGAACGGCCACATCCAACCTTGGCACTGAAGCCAGGGCTCCAAAACCTACTATGGCTCTTAAACCTAAACCGAGGCACGGTGATGTTCGCCCATGGTCTCCAAGCGGAAAACCCATTTCAAAACAGGGGCAACATCAAGAACTACAAGGCGGTAAGAAAAGATAAAAAATGGCAGTAATTGGTGGTAAGGAAGTGGAGAGAAAATGGTGAGAAACGGTAAGCCTCGAATCGCATTTTCCCAAAGGATTGTTTGAGGTCGTGCGCTGAATGCATGACTTGCCACCACCGACCACAGCTGCAGCTGGTTGTGTAGGTTCTATACTTAGGGGTTCTGGTCCAGCTTTGCCTGTGGAAGACGGCATTGACTTTGGAACGGAAGTGCTGCTTCCATGATATGAGAGCTCTCGTACGGGTGAAATCGTAACCTGGACGTCGAAAAGAGAAAGCGTCGCTTCCAGGACATACTAGTTACCACATCAGTCAGCTTGTGTTCGAGCAAAATATGGAAGAGCATTATGAGATAGGAACATCTGATGGAAATACATTACGTGGTCAAACACATGACCTTTCTAGTTCTTTACAATTGCTTAGCGAGGCCAACATTATGGCCAAAATCAATTCAACGATGGCGCAGCAGCCGCTACTGTAGGAGGCTTGCCGCAGCAACGCCTCACGAAACCTCCCGAGCGCATTCAACAAGGTCCGGCAGATCAGATCCAGCACAAAGAAATGCATCCTGCAGCAAGTGCCGCAGCATTTAAATAAAAAACAGGCACATGATACTGGCGCAAAGTACCAGATCGTGAAACAAACAAATTAATTTATCATGCTAAATGGAGAACAGACGTAATGTCATCCAGCAAGGGCCAAAGGCTAGCGCTTGGCGGTTGGAAGGATAGAGTGCCGCACCAATAGAGTAGGGTCCGTTGTTGGGCACGTCCGTCATCCCCTCCACGTATCCAGGCTCCCCCTCCCGCACCCTGCCTTCGAAGAGGCTGCCGCCTTCCTCAATCCGGCGGCACCTGGGGCCCACGCGAATGCCATCACGCATGAATGTACGGAGCGATGCGACATCCTAATTGGTCAATACGATTAACATAATTTCGTTATCCTGCCGAACTAACATCAACTCAAATTCAAATAGTTTCACTAGTATTCCTTCGCGAAGTCGTTCGCAAATTCACGGAAAGTGTGAGTAATCGTTGAACGCGGCAACGCGGTTGCAGCTGCTCGACTCGGTTCCCCCGCGGCATATGGCACACTCATCGATGCACGGCTCGGGCAATTTAAAGCGCGCGAAACACTAGAGACGAACGCAGAAAATAAGATCCATCGAAAACGAACTAATACATCAAAACACTGAAACTGGAGCAGTTCAGATGATTCTTTCATTTGAAAATGACGCAAATTGAATGTACATTGCATCGAAATGACAAGAATTTTCTAGTCGTCTAGTATCCTTCAATATTTATGTGTGTTTTTTTTCCTTTTTGGGGGGGAGAGGGAGCGGGGGTGGCGCACTTCGGGGCGACATATTCCTCCCCCACGAAGCGGTTCATGGCTCCCGCGCCCGCGCCGCTGAAGGTGGAGTGGCCGCTGACGTATCCCTGGAAGGCGGGCGTGACGAACGTGGTCGCCTGGTAGGGCTGCCACCGCGATGCGGGCAAGGTGCCAAGCCCCAGGTAGGGCCCCAGCCAGCTCTCCAGAGTCTCGTCGCCCAGGCCGCACTGGATCATGGTGATGGGGCGGGCGAAGTCGAAGTGGCGCTTGGACTCCCAGGCGGCGACGCCCGCGTCGTTCTGGCTTATGCCCATGAGGAAGAGGAGCTTGGCGGTGTCGTACAGGCCCAGGCCCTGGCGGGGCAGGCAGTGAGTGATCGTCACAATTTTTTGCACATGTCGAATTCAAGTTGCGGCGCCACTTGGTGACCCGTCTTTCGTGACACCCGCGGTGCAGTTTGGTGCTGCTCCGCGGCGGTCGGGCCGATTCTCGATGATGTCCAATGCTCCAAATACATTCCAAGCCTGTGATTCCTATCAGCCATGTCTATGTCAAGCACGCCTAAGCAATTGTCTCTCACTTATCCGTTCCAGAGGAGCGACGGCTCCCACGTGTTGGAGCCCTCTTTCCCTATCAGCATCCTCACCGGCTCCTCAGCATCAACGGCATTCGACATCTCACCAAGTTCTTGGCGGCCTCCATCGCGATGCGGTACCAATGGCCCCCGGGCGCTGTGGTGTCGGGGCCATCGGCCCAGTGCTCCGCCAGCACTTTGCCGACGTCCGTCATGTTGGCGGAGAACTCCGCAACCTCTCGCGCCTGTCGCCACGGACAACGATACGCATGTTAACAGAAAAGGTGCGCAGCCAACATGATTCCGGTACGCGAGGTATGCAACATTCAGTAGTTTCAGTCGCTAGTTGACTGCGCTAACTACTTAGTTAATTTAGTTTAATTTAGTTTAGTTAGTCAATTATAATTGAAGTAGTGCCCGCCAGACAGGCTCGCTTGCAGACGCAAGACGAAGAGCCCCCTGAACACTGTGATTCGAATGTCCATTGAGCGACAGGCATTAGCGGCGCTGACGTCACTGGGTCGGGTGTCTGATGGGTGGGAAGCTAGCTGGCAGTTCACTGGCCAGTTGCTGGCGAGGCAGGGCAGCGTCCGTGAGCTTCCTGGTTTGGCCCAGCGAAAAGCGATTCTCATGATTTCTTCTCTGAGACCCTATGCACTACACAAACGACGCCCATTCCGTCGATTCCAAATCTGCAAGCAGTTTTGGTCGATAGTGATACACCGAAAGAAGTTTTTTCCACCTGGCAATTGCGACTTGCAAGTCGCCAGAACAGCGCGGCCCCTTCCCACCTGAATGCGTTTATCGAGAGGTTCCACCCAGTCCCCCGAATGATAGGCACAAAGCGACATTTTTTGCGATGCTAACTGAGATGCCACTTGCCACTAATGGATTCCATCTCAGCTGATTTCACGCCATCGGGTGACGGCTCCACTTCGTGTCCAGATCCCATCGCAGTTGGGGTCGCAAAAACGGCGTTTCTCGACACCGAGACCTCCACAATCCCCTCGTTGGCTTCTCCCAACTCGGCAAGTAGGCAAATGCGAAAAATGCACTGACCACTAACCTGTCTGATGTACTCGTCGTGATCTCCGTAGTACGAAGGAGGTCCTGGGAGTTTCAAAGACTCCTGGCCGTCGTACACAAATGTGGTCCACCTCCCCGCATTGGGCGACAGCATACTTTGAACCTGCGCAGGAGGAAGCGCAGAGTCGGGGGGCTCCTACACTATTCGCATTCCATGGGGCATGCATTGCATTTGCAGAAATGTCGGTATACTACTGGTAGTATCAATATTCGTCAAGTATCAATACTGGTATACGACCGGCAGTATCAGTATCTGCCAATTATCTATGTTTGGTATGCAACGAGTAGGCATCAATATTTGGTAGGCACCAAGACCTGGACCGAAGTTTCTGGAAGCGGCACGTCGCGTGCAGCTTACGAGATATGGCAGAAAAACCAGGCATGACAAACGATTCGGCCCATCTAGAAAGTTACCAACTGTACGCCGTATGACAGCCAAAATGCAGCTGCATGATAATGCGTTGAATGATATCATGACCATTGCAATGTGCCATGACCATGACCGGCGCTTTCCATATGCGGCGTATTCGAGGACCCTTAGAAATTGCTGAAAATTGAAAGCGGGTAGTTTCGGGCCGGTTGTCATGCACGAGCTTTCAGGCAGGAAGATGAGACAAGGGTGAAAATCCCCGCACTCACCTCGCACACAGAAGAGCCGTTCTCGACGGGAACGCAGAGCGGCTGCCAGTGGTCCAGGTCGTGGATTTCTGAGCCGCAGTTGGTAAAGCCCGGCTCCTCCTGATCGTCGTTCACAGGCTCGTGCTCGGTATATTCTATCGCTGCAGCACGAATGGGAGCAGGTAAAACGAAAACGAGACACAGAAGCAATGGCGCGCAGTTCAAAGTGGATAGGCGCATTAAACACGAAAAAGCGCACGGTTCGGAACAGTGGGGCAATTGAAACGTCGATTTGTGCAGCAGCGCAACATTTCCGCAGTACTGTGACAGTGAGTAGGAAACGAGGGGTCAATAGAAGAACGGGGTGGGTACTGGCAAGATCTGCCCCATTGAGGAGGGCAGAACAAGTTTCCGGGAGCGTCAATTACATTGATAAGCAGTGCCCAGGACTAGCGCCCACTCAGGGCTTCCTGTTTCCAGATGGTCAAAATGAATTCGAATTCTGCATCCGTTTTTCAACGCACAATCACGCCACACTGTCATTCTCATTGCCGCGACAATCATTCTTCCATTAGCACTTGTATGTGTCCATCCCCTTCCTGTCCATTCAAACAGTCAGCAATGGGAATGGACAGAAGTAAACACTCAACGGCGGCAAATTCTTGCGGCGGTAGCGATGGCCGTGATTCTGTGTGCTGTTGCCATTCTGTCGTTCATTTTTCAACGCACCACCTCCGTTGGGGTGGCCGATGGCGTCGTAGCCGTCGCTCTCGAACGTCGCCACCACCTCTTGGCACACCTCCATGCCCAGGTTGAAGGACGGGTCGTCAGTGGTGGCGAAGAAAAGGCCGCTGGGCCCGGGGTCCCCAAACCGCATGGATTCCCCGTACAAGGCGTTCATGCGCTGGCGCACCGCGTCGATGGTGGTGAAGCCGCTGAACATTTTTTGGAGGGCGTGGAAGGCGGCCCCGTCGACGACGGCGACAACGTTCAGGCCTGCGCATGGGCGGCAGAGTGCGCGTTTAAATTCAGATTCAGACGTTAAAATTCGGATTTAGATATGCAGAAATTGACTTTTAGTACTTCAGTTGGGAATTAACACAACAACTCGGGTTTCGGTCTGGCGAGGACGAAGCCACTCCGTTTATGATGCTCGACAGCAGCAACTTCGGAATTGGCCCGTGCTAGCAACGGCAATGCCGCAGGGGCTCGGGCCAGGTGCGCAGTTGAGCCGCGAAATTTCAGCACGAGAGTCTTGAGTCTGCTGAGCCGGGGTCTCGACACTGGGCTACTTTGAAACGAGGGCGATCGATTCCACACATCTTTGCCAAGGTGGAATCCGAGTGGCGCAAATCAATGTCCGCGTGGCTAGAAGAGAAGTCAGGTAAAACCAATCAATGAATAATAAGACCGTGACTCTAAACAGGCCAATGGTTTTCAATTTCCCAGCGAATCTTCTCAAGAGCCATTTCGTTCGAATGGAGGACGCCATTACTAGCCGCAGATGTTTGCGATCGATGCGCCGCAGGACGCTGCCTCTGTCGGCCAAAGTCCATGATCTGCCGCCTTCGATTGCACGAAATACCTTCAGTCCCTCTCCTCTCCGTCGCGTATGCAGGCTTCATTGTTGGGTTCAGTTGTGCGGCGCCATCGTGAATGCACGTGGTGAATATCCCCAGTATGCGGCCCATTGCGGGAGGCGGCAGGGAGTCGAAGTTGTTCCTCATCTGTTGGCGCGAACAATGCGGCCATTGTTACAAAACAGCGCTCGGGAGTGCGCCATAAGAACAAGTGCAGGATACCAATGACAATCCCGAAAAAGGTTTGAAAAGACGTGATGGCATGCCTGGAACTGTGTTTTGTCGCCCGTGGCCTGAGGGCGCAATTGCCCTCGACATGTGATGGCCCACACTGAGTGCCAGTCGGGCCTGTTGCAACAGCTGTGTTTGTGTTGCTCGGTTGCAGCGAAACTTGACGGCGCACTCTGCACTTAAGAATTCCTGTTTGAGAACAGTTGGGGGTATACACTTAGCCGTTGCACAGATCAAAGATCAAAGCAAAGAGATGAGGAAACAATCTGCATACAAAGGGTTGTTTGGGAAACGCTAGACGCATAAACAGCCATTGAAGTGATGCCATAGATTGAAGCAAGTGCCAAAGGCAATCGCTCTCAAAAGAGGAAGGTCGCCGCGAGCCTCGTGTTTCTGTTGCACCTCCACTGAGTGGACTCCAACCTGCCCGATCTTCAAGCGGTCGCAGTCCCATTGGTGCCCCGCCAGCACTGAGCGGACACGCCTTCCCCTCATGCACTGCTTTCCATCACCAAACAGCGCATGGCTGGGGAACGCGCAACTTTTCCGACATCGCACAACTTTCGTGGTAAAATACTGACACTGTCGGCTAGAACGTCAGAGCCGCCACCTTCTTCAACAGAACGTTTGTCTCCTTTCCGTGCTTTGGATTCTTTTCTTTGGTGGATCCCTCACCTGGTTTAGGAGCACGTACGACCAGTCCAGTGGCGGATTGCCGTCGCCCGGCGGTGTAGGGGGAAGCTCCGTCTCAAACTCGTTGCTGTCTTGGCATATGAATTCACACTTGGGATATGTGAACTGGACCGGTCGGAATCCACCTTGGCCTAAAGGACAAGATCGCATTCTGAAACTGTCACCTTTGTCCATTCATCATTGTCAATTCACCATTTCCACACTTTTTTCTTCGTCGTTGTCAACGGATGACACCATGTCAATTTAGTTACGCTTAGCGTCAATTCGAAGCTAAGAAAGGGGGGGGAGATCCGCGCCTATGACGCTAAGAGATGGTGTAATTCCAGCAAATCGACATAAGATGGAAAGAAGTTTCAAAGCGCTGCTGATCAGCGGCAAAACACTCGTGGCTTGTTCCTACACCTCCCTAAAATGTTCACTCTTCAAGAAATTCCCTTCAACACAAGAATGCGTCAATTTACAGGAATTGAGGCTGCTCGCCCTGCACACAATGGCTTTTAAAATTCCGTTCCCCCCCACCCCCCTTTCTCCCACGTACACCGATCTGAGCGTTTTCTCTTCTCAAAAGTCAGCTATAAATTGTGTTCCACTGTCAGTTAGTGTTGCTGCACGGCCTTTCGAGGTACGTGCCGCATCTCTCCACATGCAGCATCTTCTACCAGTGGCAATTTCGCAAAATCAACTCTATCAATGTATTTCTTCCATTCTTCTCTATCCACATAGCAAACAATAAGGTGCAGGGCCCCGTTTTGTCCTTCAGAGGCAATTTAAATGAGGGGTTCCAGCTGCTGTCAACAAACACCATCAACTGTGTCAAGTCCTGCACGTTTCGATGCTTGAGCAGAATATCCAGAAGTGCGGATGTTGAAAACTGTGCAAATGTGCCTATACTCGTTCACATATTTCCAAACGTTACAATGCATTGATGTACACAGCAAAGGGACACATTCACTGACAAAGTGTCAATACCTTGGGCCAGAGGCGCAGCCACAACCAAGAGAAAGAGGAGGGTGATCGCAGACCTCATGGCTCTTGACCTGTAGCATCACACATAAAGACGGTTTGCTGCATTGTATTTAGCAACGCACCAGCCACAACCGTCTCAATTGGCGCCTTTTTCAATCAATTACGGCAATCGTGTTGCAGCTCCCCAGGGCTATAAGCAGCACAACACGCAGAGAAATCGAAACATTGCAACATTTCATTGTACCACCTGCCCACCGCAGCGTGTTCAAGACGTTGTGTTGCACTAAGAACAAGGAGGCAGTGCCATGCGCAGGCGCCCTCGGAACAGTGGAGGCTTTCACACCTATTCCAAAATTTTAGGGAAGGGATTTACAGGGCGCTGCAAGACTACTGCAAAGTTGGGAGCGGGGTTCAGGTAATGGGGCAACTTTCGGGCTTGGGTCCCCATCTGGAAAACCAAAATTTTGTGGCACCTCAGATGGATCCCAAGTTTAGGAATCATTGCTCTATGACTCAAATTTTGGAAGTACTCAAGCACTGCAACATAAACCGGAACCTGTCTTTTGAGAAGCCCGCAAGCGGGGCGCCTCCTTTTGGGACACTGTACGAGGCCGAAGAAGGGCCAGAGCTCTAGAAGACCGCAGACAAAGAATGCCTGTGGCGAATCGCCTACGGTGGTGCGCTTCCCTAACCAGGAACAGCGGAACACACTCCATCGCACGCACACCACATCGGATACGGCCCGGCGCCCTCTCCGGCCACATTCAGAACGCGACCCTGCTCAGGGCGCAGGGCGAAAGATTCCCTAATGGGGAATCCCCCCCGCCGGTCGCCCTTTTCCCGGGCATTCGCCGCGCGGCCCAACAAAATCGACAGCTCAACAAATTCCCGCCCAAATTCGCGGAATCTCTTCCCAAAATCAACCCCCGTCGCCAAATCGCCTGGATCAGCCGAATCAGCAGTATTTGTGCCCCTCCACTTCGGGGCGCGCTGACGCGCCAGACGCCCCCACCCGCCCACCGACCTTCCCCCCACCCGACCCGGCACCTCGCGATCCGGAGAGGCCCCCCACGCCCAGGCAACCTCAAGAGTCCGCGGGACGTTCCGGAGATGTCCCGGCCGCCTCAGAGCAACGCAATCATCCGAACGCGGATCGGATCGGCCCCGATACGAGGCGTTGACGCCCCGCGAGGCGCTCAGAGGATTACATCATCGCAGTGGCAACTCTTCCCCTGCGGAGACCGCCGATCTCGGCCGGGCCGCCCGGCGGAGGCGCCGCTCGACCCAACCTTCGGCTCATCCGTGAGCAGACACCAACGCCACCCATACGGCAGCTCGGCTGCACGTACCGCGCAGGCCACATCCACCCCACGAGAATCGACGACAATCTCCATGCTGAGGATCCTCCCCCCACCCCCCTCTTCTTCCCCGCCAGTCCCCACTCCCACATGAGGCGCCCGCCTTGAGCCCCCTGAACATGGCCCAGGTGGCCGGCCAAGCGCGGATTTCTGCCAGCGTGGATTTTCGCTCCCTCTTCCTGCACTTGCACGCGCACGAACAACACGATCCCCTTCGACCTCGACGCAGGCGCACCTGCGCCGCCGGGGAAAAGCGCCCGTTCCCTCAGCCCAGGCCGCCGGTCGCGCGAGTGTTTGTCGCCTTGGGGACGCCAAGCCGTTGCCCAGGCGCATGCGTCGGCTAAGTAGGGAAGGTGGGGGGCGGCGTACCAGGAAGGGGGCCGAATGCGGGTACGATGCCGGTGTGAAACTGTACCAGGCGGACAAACTTCCCCGAATTGAGGCCGGCTGCGGCCTTCCATTACCCTTGAGGGAGCGTGGGTGAGAAGGGGGCGCACGTCACGTCCTGTCAAATCGGGACGCAGCGGTGGGAGCGGCTGTGTGATGTGCGCAGTTGGGGTGTGAGCGGGAGGAAGAGGCGCGAGGAGGGCGTCCACGTAGGAGCGGCCGGGTTGGACCCTACCCGCGCATTCAGCGCCTGTTCCGTCATCGTCTTCACACTCCCAGGGGCGGAGCAGTGAGGCAACGCGCTGACTGGGGGGCCGGGGAGGGTACTAATGTAGTGGGATACCTTCGCCGGGGGGCCGCTGCGAATTTGCTTCCGCACGCACTTCTTGATTGATGGGTTGACGCCATCACTTCCGGGTCGGAAGTTCCGGGACCTCGCTTGTGGCGTTGGCGGGGCGGTACAGCCCTTCGCTACCTGTTCTCACCGCGGCGGCCTCGGATGCTGAGCCAATGCGCGCCCACCTTCTGCATACGAACCAAAGATTCCCAGGACATGCTTTCCGATCATGTGCCTGCTGAATAATCGATTCCGAGCACACTATCTGCGTGGTTTTCACGCCCATCATGGCCTACCAGGTGCACGGGCTGTGTTTTGTCATTTTGTGACAAATGCAGTCCATGGATTTTGATGATGTGCTGCCCGCTTCGATAATGGAAACGGCGTTGTAAACACCGTCACAATTACAGCATTTCCTGCAGCTACAGATAGCTGAATCACGGACAGAAATTGCCGGTAGTAGCAACCTTTGTCAGTTCTCCGGCCGATCCGCTTCTCATCTGGACTGGAGTTGGGCACCTGGGCCGCACTGTTTTTACCTCCTTAAAGAGCGTCGGCACGTCAGTGTCAAACGATCGTAGCTTCAAGCGCCCCGTTTGATGCACTGACGCTCTGGTGTGGTGAAAACGCTTACAAGTCCAACAGCACCAGGGCCGGGCTGGGAAATACGCCACAGCTCTGTGCTTGCCTTCATATGCAGATCGGCCACTGGCCAAGGAGCGTGGCCCTTCCGGTGCATTGGGCCCGCACAGAATGTCGCGTTTCAATCCCATTCTGTCGCTTGGAGGCCACGCTATGTTGATTTTGGTACGCTTGGGTCAAGTTGATGCTGAACTCACACCTTTCCAGAGGGAGTGCACCTCGCCTCCCTTCTCCTTGGATCCCTCCTGATGTCGATGCCAGTATGGCACAGGAAGCAAAGCAGCCAGCGCTGCTGAGATAAACACTAGCAGAAAAAGGGCCGAATAACGCCTTTAAAAGCGCTATTCAAAATCCATTCGCAAAATTTTGCCAACACATGTATATGCATTTCATCAGTGCACTGCATGCTGAAAACACGAAAATAACCCAAACCAGTAAATTTTGTACGCGTTTGAATACATGTTATTTGACCCTTTTTCCTAATGAAAGGGGCTGAAATGGAACGCTCGAATTGATCGTAAACGATGGGTTCAGTCCTGGAGGCCCCCAGCCTCGCAGCCTCGGCTGAGAGTTGAAACATCTTGGGGACCACCGCGAAGATGGAATGCTTGAAGAACGTCTTCGAACAGTCCGTGACCTGTTTGCAGCGGATAAGAGTCGGTTGGGCCTCTTCTTCGCCAATGCCGATTTTGTATCAATGGCATACCACTAATTGTTCTCTTAAGATCACATGTCTGTGTCTGTCACACTTAACGTCAAACTGATGATAAGTGTACCAACATCGACACAGCTTCATCCCTTACAATATCGTGGCTCATGTTGCACGGCGTTGGGCACTGTGAACCTGGCAGCGATGCAGCCGCCCATGCTGAGGCCGTGCGAATCGCTCTAGTGTTCCTTGTACAACATCGTTGCAATGGAAGGCGTACAATCCTCGGGAATTGACAATTGTGGCGGGGAATGCCGGAAATTGCTTTGCGCTGTGGGTGAGCCCGATGCAGGCACGGTGTCATGTGATTGGGCGAGGCGCACCTCGCGTCGAGTTAAGTGCAACGAGCAGTGGTGGAAACCATATTTTTTCCGGATTTCAAAAGTGTCATGTTGCCGTCAATGACCGAAAAGGAAATCCAAAATGCAAATCCAAAGCGGAGCCTGAAAAGAGGGGAAATGATCCCTACACACTGAACCAGACAATGCACACCTTCACATGCAACCAGCGAAATCCAGATATTTCTTTTTTAAATAGCGTCACTCGAGCATGAATCCAGTGCACCCCCTTCAACTAGGGCTCCTGCGCCGCGCAGCGCCTATATTAGAAGAGCACTTCTCATGTATCCTGTGCCTGCCCAAATGGCTTGCATGCCCTCCATGCAGTCGGGAACTTTCCAAGGTCCCAGTTTAAGGGTGTCCCGTCACAGGCACTCTCCACCCCACGCATCACCCTCGCTCACTCCCCGTTGGAGTTGAAGGTGCACTGTCAACTGGATGACGCAGGTGCGCCATCCAAATCCTTGTCTTAGCAGATCACGAACCGCTTCCTTGCGGATGCCCTTGACCATATCCCATCCTTCCGCGATTCGCCATCTAAGGCATCATCAAAATTGATCAACATCGCATGAGAGCTTCTCTTCGATCGCGTTGAGTTCCGCGTCGCTCTGCTCGAATTCCGAACCTTTTGAAAACCGCGCTCTAAATGTGGCGGGTCTCCACGAACGACTGTGCCCCATTTGCGGCCTTCCACGCCATCACTCCATGGGTCAACCCGCCTGTGAAAGCCATCTCCTCGCATGGCACACTGATTCGCTGCGCACCACAAGAATGCCACGCAAGCTAATTCAAGCCGACGTGAGAAGCGCCACTGGATACACACGCACACCCCCGGCGGTCCCCTCAACAGGCAAAGCCCCACTACCTCCGAGACTTCCTCAGCCTCCTCAGGCCGATGAGGGCGATCACCCTGAAGATGAGCCCCTCCAGTATGAGGGCCGTGAAGGCCGTCGTCACGGCCCCGTTGCACGACTTGGCGATGTCGAAGTCCCTCAGCTTGATGACGTCCAGATCCTGGCCGTCCACGGACGCTATGGCCACGTCCACCTTGCAGATGCCGATGGCGGCAGACATTGCGGTGATCACGTTCTGAAGGTGCCAGCCGTAGCCCTTCCACTCCGATATGGTGAGCGCCTCGATGGCCCAGCGGTTGTAGCTCACGCTCAGCAGGTACTCCACCGCAGTGCCCCTGAAGCTGGAAATGGGCGGGTCCAGGCCGGTGACGAAGGCGCCGAAGATGAGCGTGACGAATACGCCGGCCACCAGGACTGACTGGCGCGGCAGGAAGGCGGAGACCATGTACGCTACGCCGGAGGCCCACATGCACACCGCCAGGCCGATGCAGTAGTAGGCAGCGAAGGACATGGTGGGCAGGGTGAGGTAGTAGTACGGCGCAATGAACGCCGCTGGCATTACCACCATGCAGGATAGGTCCACCAGGTTCCAGGCCAGGAAGTAGGCCGTGGGGCTCAGGCCGCTGAGCGCCTCCCGCCGGAAGAGCGCCTTGCGCGAGGAGAAGGTACGCAGGTGGGAAACGGTGGACAGCAGGCCCAGCACCACCATGGCGAACGCCGCGAACTTGGGAATGTAGCGCACTTTAGGCCAGCCCTGCCAGCCGTTGCCGTGCAGCGTGCCCACAACCACGGCCCCAAGCACGCTGAACAGCGTATCCAAAGTAAGGGTAGTGGTAAGCGTGCGAGCCCTCTGAACGAACGACCTGTGCACGAGAGTGGCGAATTGCCGCGCCGGCGTGGGGCTCTGCCGGCTGCCCAGGAAGGCCTCCAGCTGCTCAGCTTCGCCGCCGCGGAGGGCTACCCGGTACGCGAACTCCGTCATGCTGCGCGCAGACTTGTGTATGAGGTCCCCCACGCCTGTGCGCAGCCGGGCGGTCACGGACGCCGGCCGGTCGTCGGGATACGCCCGCCGGAGCTCCACGGCCACGTCCGGCGGGGAGCGGTCCCCCGGGCCCCCAATCGCCTCCACGGGGGACGTGGAGCCCCGGCTGAGCTTGGACGGGGGGACCCCGCCCCTGTGCGTTGGGCCCGCCTCCCCGCTCCGCATGCCAGCGACGAGCTGCGCACCAGAGGGTTCCGTCTTGTCGCCAACCTTGTACACCTTGATGCTGTCGCTGGAAGGATTGTCAGGGTTCGTTTCCGCCCCTGTTTCCGCCCGCTTGTCGCCGCTGGGGGACTCTGTCTCACAGCTGAGCCTGGCGCTGGCGGCCTCGTTGACGGCTGCGATGAGTTCGTCCCTGTTCACCTGGCCATCTTCGTCCCGGTCCAGCCCCGCCACCAGCACCTCAACCACGTCCATCGTGCACTCCACGCCCATCCGCTCCGTGAACAGCCTGTGTATCTCCTCCACGGACAGCTTGCCGTTGCCGTCGGCGTCGATCTCGTCGAACTTCTTGAACATGTAGCCCAGCACCTCCGGCGTGAGGACCTCGCTCTTTGAGCGCGCCCTGGCGAAGCTGCTGCCGCGTAGCCTGCCCTGCACCCATTTTCGCCCGTCCGCTTTCCACAGCTCGGACAGGAGCGTGGGCACGAAGCAGGGGTCGTTGCGCCGGCAGCACTTTCCGGATATGACGTCCAGGCAGAAGTCGGCTGGATTTTCGAATTCCGGGCACGCGAAGCCCTGGTGCTCCAGGTACTCCTGCACCGTGTGGGGGGGACCCAGGTACACTGTCTTGCCGCCGGTGCCCAGCAGCAGGACCTGGTCGAATGACAGGAAGATGGCGGGCCTCGGTTGGTGGATGACGGTTATGATCGTCATTCCGAGGTCGCCCATAGCGCCCAGGCCGCTGCGGGGGCACAAGACAAGGGTGTCAGTTGTGAAGCGGCAGCCATGCGATTCATAGGCGTGCGCGGAAGGAGGAGAATTCGCAGTCACAAACGCTGTCCGCACACCGTAAAAGCTAAGACCTGCGACCCTCACGACCTTCGTATCCGGAAATGAAGCGAATCGTACATCTGTGTGCTATGAATGTTCGCGGCACCTGAGAACGTCGATGGAAGAGGTGGCGTCCAGTCCAGAAGTGGGCTCGTCCAGAAACAACACCGAAGGGTTGGCCACCAGCTCCATGCCGATGTTCACGCGCTTCCTCTGGCCTCCACTGATGCCCATCCTCCCCATGCTGCCCACCAGGGAGTTGCCGACGTGGTTCAGGTACAGAATGTCCAGCGCCCCCTCCACGAGCTCCGCTTTTCGACGACGCGGCATGTCTTTCGGCAGCCTCAGGAAGCCGCTGAAGAGCAGGTTCTCCCTCGACGACAAAGGGGTAGCAGAGCGTTAGGCCTTGCCGCCAGGCACCCTGTGACCAGTGTAGCTGTGGCAATCAGGGAACCGCCGTGCACCTGGCGCGCTCGGGATTACCTCCGCGGCAACAAACAACGCCCAGTTTGCACGATTCAGGTGGAAGCTTGCGCGCCGCTCCACACCTGAAACTTTGGGCTGCTGCGGTGTCGTGTGCTGCGGAAGAAACGCACTCGTGTAGTGTTACTTATGGTGGAGATATCGTGGTTAAAATAAGCCTTGGGTCACATGGGTCATTTTGGCCGTGGCGGCCATACCCCAATAGAAAAAACGTCCACTTAAGAAGCTCTAACGTGGCGTGTAGCGCGACTGCTGTGCTATAACGAAAAAGTTGAATGTAGAACATATTTGGGTATCTAGAACACTTGCCGGTGGCATTTCCAGAGGATTACTAGTACTTCGGCAGCCGCCAATCGTCGTGCAATTGCCGTCTGGATCGTCAAGATCTGAGTCACAATCTTGGAGGGCAAGTCACCGTCATTCCTGTCTACAGAAGTCGCGCATACCTAAAGCTGACCCACGAGACTACGCAGTTCTCCCGGACCATACTTGCTCAGACTATCCCAATCAGAGAAAGGCACATCGCGCGCATTGGAAGCGCCGTTCCGCACCTCCGAACAATTGGCAGCCGCAGTTTTGTGTACAAAATTTCAAGTAATCCACATCTCATCAAGTGCTGCTCACCTGACGGTGAGGTCCTCGTGAACTATGTCGTCCTGCGGCACGATCCCCACGACCTTCTTCAGGCGGTGCAGGTCCATCTCTTGACCGTTAACTGTGACGCTTCCCGTGATTTCCCACCCGGCGGGGCATCTTCCACACAACACGTTGAGGAAGGTGGTCTTGCCCGCTCCGCTGGGGCCCATGACGGCGTTTATGTAGCCGGGGGCGAAGCCGCCGCTCACGCCCGCCAGCAAAACTTTGCCGCTGCCCAGTTTTGCGCCGAGGTCCACAAATTCCACGTTTATCTGAAAGGAGGAATCGCGACATTGCAATTAATTGCATGTTGATTGTAACGCGGTAATATTCTCCATTTTGAGCTGCGCTTAAACGGGATTTGAAAGGCTTGACGCTGGAGAATGAGGACAAAGCATGATTAACCGCTGCTGTTCTTCTAAGCGCTGCCAAATCAGTTCTGGCGTAGAGCAATAATGGACGTATGCAAAGTGGAGCACGAAAGAAGTCAACACATTGTATGCTCTTGAATTTTAATGCCTATGAACGGCGCCAATTAGTTATTAGCGCAGATGCGCTCATGGCAGAGTTGCAGCAATTTTCCGTGCAGATGTGCGCAGCAGAAATACTTAAAGCGCATATTGAAACATTACTCTCCTAAACATGAGAAAACTGCCCAAATAAACAGTTCACTTTTTCCTTCGTCACTGCGTCCGGTTCCATCCAAAAGAAGTTTGGGCCCACAGGCCCGAGCCTGCTTACGCTTACCGTCGGGTCTATCTCCATGAAGCCGGCTCCATTCGAGGCCCGGCGCGTGAGGCCGTTGATGGCACGCTGTATCGCCTTCACGATGGCGTCTTCCGCCACGACGCTCTTGATCCTGGACGTCTTCACGTCCAGCCACCGGACGGCCAGCACGAGCAGCAAGACGCCGGTGGAGATGCCGAGGCCGACGACCAGGGCGCCGAAGACGGTCGTGGGCCGGGAGGTGCCCTCAGGGCACAGGGCCAGAGCAGGACACCTGGGGGACGCAGAGGGCGTCTGGGCACAGCGAATGGAATGGCGAAATTTTGCTGAAGGCTTGCGATGATGGAAGGTGGTCGCTGAAGAGTGGCTGGAAGAATGGGCGGATTCCCTGGCATGCTGTTGGCCAAAGCGCGCGGCGAAGTACTTCGCACTAGTGGAAATCTCTGAGTGAGAAAGCGGATCATCCACGGCGCTGAAAGAATGATGCAGTCTTTCTGATTAACTATGTTGTTTGAAAGATCTTGCCGTCTAAGCCTCGAACAAAAACTAGTGCATGAGTTACAGTTTAATCAAAAATAGCACATGTTCATTGCAGTGCCATCGACCACGCCCTCGAGAGATGACAAAATTTTCAACTTGAGAACACTCTCCAATTTACGGAGCTCCAGTTATCGGATTTCCATTTGCGAGTTATCAAGTTCGCAAAATGGAACCCATCGATGGAAAACTCATCACCCCAAGGAGGTTGCTCCACCTGTAAGGGGTGATGGTCTGTCCTGGGCAGTAGTGTCCCTTGGGGCACACGATCTTGTGCGCCGGCCCCGGGCAGTAGTGCCCGTCGGGGCACGGCTCCGTAGGATCCTCCGATCCCCTTGGGCAGAAATTCCCTCCTATGGGCGTCCGCGAGGTGTACAGCATCTCCAGGAGCTGCGTCTCAACGGGCAGCGTAATGAAGGGGTCCTTGAGCAGCACCATGACGTAATCGCAGGACATGGGCTGGACGGCCCCCCGCAGGCAGAAGCTTCCCTCGGGGCACTCATCTTTGGTCTCGGGGCGCGAGCAGTGGTAGCCTGCCGGGCACTCCAACTCGCGGCCGTGGCTGGCCACTTCGCTGACCGTGCCCTGAGGGCAGTACTTGCCGGCGGGGCAGCTCTCGCAGATGGCGCCAGTGGAGGCGAGGTCGTGGCTACGGAGGGCACAAACGCCGCTGAAAATGCCCCACAACTTGAGAAAGTACACCTGCTGTTTGGCGATGTGAGCGGAAAATTTGGAGCGAAATTGGCACTCTGAAATTTCGAAACGCGGAAGGTTTGAATGCACTACGGCATGCACACAAATGCATCCAATTGTCGCGGATTTCCCACATCCAAAGAGCCACACTCCCGCTGAACACCTAATCCACCCGCTAAAATCACTTCATACACAAAATTTGCAGCTTGCAACGTAGCCTCTCCACCTCCTCTAGTGGGATTCCACCTCGCACGGACTTATGAGTTTCCTCTTTACTATTATATTATATTCAACACGTCTTAGCGTAAAAATTTTGCTTGCTGCGCCCGACAAAGTGGCTTTGATGCCTCGCTCCTTGAGGCCTCACCTCAGCGCAACGATCTCCCGCAGATGCAGGGAGCTCGCAGAACGGGAGCAGCGATATCCCCCGGGGCACTGACCCACGGGAACGTTGTTCACCGGGTTGCAAGGGCATCCCGGAAACACGAGTGCTGGCGTCAGCCCAACCACCTCCTGGGCAGTGTGGCATATGAGATCTGTCTGATCCTGAGGCAACAGAGAAGACCAAACTGGCTCAGCACACTGACTTTTCTTACTGCACTTCGCTAACTAATTTTGAAGGAAACTTTGTTGCAGTGTCCCCCGCCACACAAAAAATATTCGGACCAAGCTCTGGTCAGGAGCCTTGATTTTCGCTTTTGTATAGAATGATTGAATGTTGTGGATGCCAATGTTGAAAGACACACAATGCGAAGGAAGAGAATAATGGAAGTCGCATAAGTTCACCACAAAAATTTGTTTCATATTCTTTGCATTTGATTAATTTATTTTGATCTTGTGGATGTTATATGCTCGATTTTGTATTCGAAATTGCTGGATTCATTTCATGACGTTTGGCGCTGCCATCAGAATCGTTCACAGCACAATACAGGGAATAGCGCCATCATCATCCACAGATTACTTGGTATCCACCAGTGGGCACATTTTTAGCCCGATAAGTTGTGCGTGACGCATAATCTCATCGACTATGTAGTAGTGCCTCAAGGAGAGGAGATATACTTAAGTACAAGGTAAGAATACGAAGTAAGAAGCCACAAAATCCCAGCCGACTAAGGAAGAAAACGCCAGTGTAAATGCCAATAATGCTGTGCACACTGTGCTTTCGTCGCAATTGAGCCATGCCTGCACTATGTTTTGCGAGGCTGTATATTACACACAGGAACTCCGGATAGTTTGGATAAAAAGTTTAAAGCAAAGACTAATAATTAAATGTGGCAAATTTTTCCTGTTCAGCATGACGTCGTCCATGCTGCCACATTCATATCTTCCTCCCTTAAAGCCACCCCCTTTCGGCGCAATTCCTGTACACTTTCGCACTGCGCCAAAGCCCCAAAAGACGGCATGTGTGTGAGGCGGAGTGTCAAGCGAATTGCGAACAGTAAGAAATGTTCAAATTCAAATAAACAATACGGCAATTTCAAGGAATTGCATCAATCGCATGTGCTAGTGCGCCGCCATGGTTCAATGAACCGTTATCTGCGCGCTCCCCTGCTTGGGCGATGGGGTACTTTTTCCGCACCTTCGAAGAAAAAAGTAGCCGAAACTGGCAAAAATGAAATATGTCAAATGGATTAAACATCTGTGTGGTAGCTTTGACCGACATCGCCAGCTTATGGTGCAAGGGCGTTTGCTTTGCATTTTGACAAATGCAATTACAAACACCAGCAGAAACCGACATTTGTGCCTTGCCGATTGCGATGCCATTTGGCATCAATGGATGCGATCGCACCTATTTTGTGCTGTCGCAGTCACCGCTTTGTGCGCCATTTTGGCGAAAGGATTCACACACGACTGTAAACCACTCAATATCTCTAGACCCATTGCCAGGCTCGGCCCCAGGTTCCGGGCCCACACCGCGGACACACTTTTGAATAGCAGAATGGCAAAAATTCGAAACAATTGAAAAGGCATTTTGTGACCAAATCGCACGAACGCAAGCCACACATCATCGCTCGAACCATCGTCCCCCCCCCCCCCAACCCCACCCACCACCCACCCACCCACAAGCCCGCAGCCCTCACCTTGAACAGCAGCGCGGTGATCATCTCCACGCGCGACACCTCCCCGCTGCCGTCCCCGTCCATGCGGTCGAACACGAAGTCCGCCCGCCCCTCCGTCAGCACCACCTCCGTGCTGCGCGCCAGCCACTCCCGGAACGCCGACCTCGAAATATTAGCGCCAGCCGCCGGTGCGTC